AAAGGAGGACGCCATTGTCCTTCAGGACATCCGTTAAAATTGGAGTGATACAGAGAAGATTCGCATGGCCCCTGCGCAAGGATGACACACATAAATCGAGAGATGGTCCAAATTATTAAAAAAAAAAAAAAAAAGGGAGGACACCATCATATATCTGAATCGTCACCGGTACAACAGACTGGCAGAGAACAGCATGAAACACAATGGACAACCAAGGTTTGGGTTGGACAGAAAAATGAATGGAGGAGCAGATGTTGCCTAACGGTAGCTGGCGTCCCCCGCAAGACCGGAGCTGTGGATGAGCACACTGAAGACTGGCGAACAACAAAGGCTCGCCTGGACCATACTCTCATATCGCTCACAAGACGGAATGATCGCATGTTAACAAAACATCAGCTATTGAGCAGAGAGTTGATTAGGCTTTCTCTTGTGCTAGTGCTACCAGCATAGCCTGCTTAACCACACAGGTGATGACGGTGCTGGATCTAAAGTAAGAAAGGATGTGCAGCTGTTGAAAAACCCGATCTGTCACAGCTCACCCTGGGGGTGGCAACCTTTCAGTATACTTGCCTGCAGGGGACTCGTGTGGCAGTCTGTTTTCCGAATCCCAAGTCAGATTCCTTGGTCAGTTCTTTGTGAGAGAAGAGGTTATTCCAACCTAGTTCATGAAGGCTTCGATTTCTTATAAAAGGACGAGTCACTAGTTCAAGTATATCTCTAGCATTAGTAAATCCATGAATTTCAGCAAAAGCTAAGCTACCAGAGTGGCCCGGGGTCACTTGCCCGGCCGGGCCAAAACAATTAAAAAACAATAAAATAAAATAACATATTTTCTAATTTTATTTTTTATTCTAAATTTGGTGATAAATTTCGATGTGACCCTGAGGCAAAGTTCTTCAGTTTATTTTTCTGCATAACATAGTTTTTTTCGGATTTTTATCTTTTTTTTTTTTTTTTTTTTTTTTTGCTGGGACTTTCCCTGGTCCTTGCACGGGCTGGCCACCCGGGACCCGGGCGGCCCGGCTGGTAGCCTAGAGCAAAAGTAAATTCTGCTGACCATTTAGTACTAATTCCCCTAGCGCCTAGAGGATTCGCATCAGGGTTTTTTCAGGGTCATTATAACAAACATCCCACACCTTTTAAGCAAGACTTTTCAGCAGTCCATAGAGTGGACAACAAAATAAACCAACAGCGGAAAAAAAAAAAAAAAAAAAAAAAAAAAAAAAAAAAAAAAAAAAAAAAAAAAAAAAAAAAAAGAGGATCAAAGGGGCCTAAAACCCGAAGGCAAAAGTGTCTTTCATGCAAAATTCGCTCTTTTCAGTTTTTCTGACTTTTTCAGGATTTTCAGGATTTTCAGGGCTGGCCAAAACAGTCATCTCCAAGACCCCAACAAACACCAAACTTGGCACATGCAGACCTTCTAATAAAAACTGAAAAAACAGATCCCCAAATGCACTTTTCAGTGTTTGGGGTGTTAACCTGGGGCTGAAAAGTGGGGGTCCTTGTTAACCACTTGCGGTGGAGGAAGTATTACCACAGGTGCAACCGGAGGACATCCGGCATTGTACACGGAACAAGAGCGAAGAGGGTGTGGTGGATGGTGACTGCGGGGATAGCCCAGCCCACACAGTAGAGACCCATACTGTCCATGTCAGCTTCCCCGAAACGTCGGGGTACATAGCTTGTTGTCGACAGGTCAAACGCAAATGCTCGCAGTTCTTCAAGCAAGGCATCTCAAGGCTGCAACGGTGTACTGGGGCACCCAATTAGCGGGTGGGAGGACGAGTGCGCGACAACGATGAATCGCAGTTCTCATGGAAGAGGCTGGCAGTGACGCAGTGATCCTCCCTTCGTAGTGCTCAATGCAGAAATTATGGCATGCACACGGTAACCCAACTGTACCTGCAGGCTCGGAGAATGGCATGGCACAGTGATGGTTCTCTGAAGGGGCTCCCTCACCAGTGCTGGCAGAATCGATCTGATCTGCACCACAGCTTGACCAGATGCACCAAAGGGGGAAGAGGTCGGCCAAATTGTCTTCTGGAGGGGACAGAGCTTTGAGCTTCACGTCCTCCACGATGCAGTCCAGCACCCACATACCACATACTGTTCCTGAGTAGCAAGCCAAACTGATTGGGTCTCAGGCTATTCAGCACATAAGGAGTTATGTGACGCAGTGTGGGCCCTCCTGCCACTGTCCCACAGAGCCACGAATGGTCTGTGAAGGCTATGGTGCTGAAGTTGCCTGAAAATGTAGGATATACGCACAGATACCCAAAATATACGCACTGATATCAGAAGATATAAGCACTGATATCCGAAGATGTACGCAAGCATATCCGAAGATATACGCGCGGATATCCGAATCCACGTCAGACGTATAATTATGTGGGGCAAGCAGAAGCTGCAGTTACCTTCCTATGAATGCCATAGACAGCACTTCCATATTCAGGCCAGTCACAGCACAGTCGTCTTCCGGGAAGACATTACTGTGCTCCACTTCTGTCCAGCGGACGGTGTCTGCAAAGTCGAAACTGGTATAGGGGTTGCCATTATGAGTGAGGAGGCATGCATTAATAGCATAGTACGCAAAGTGACCTCGCCATCTGTACTACGAGATCGTTACACTCCACAGACTGCACAATTGGGGGAGGCACATTTCAGTCTCTTCAGTCTTTACCACACACTTCTGCATGCCTGCAAAGGACTTCCATGGTTCTGACAACTTGTGACAAGTGCTCAAGGGACAGGTCACTGTCAGTTGGAGGCTCCAGCAAATGATTGGAGGGTGCATCATTGTGGTTTGGAGAAAGAGTAGGAGAGGTGGTAGCGGGGTGGAGGGGGAGAAACGGGTGGTCAGGAATAGGCCGGCTAGAAGTATCGGGACCGGAAGCTGATCAACCACGCTCGACGCTCGTTCCCAGGTTGCATGCCAGTCATGCGAACGCTGTGCAGTTGGCAGCCCCGTGTGGATGGTGCACACGCAGGCCAGTAGCACGATAGAATTTTTTGCCAAGTTGTGGATATCAGACTTGATATGCGTTGTTTCCTGGCCGGCATGCGATTTGTGCTGTTCCCGTCCTCCGTGTTTTGACAGTGGAGATGTCGCTACCTGACATTGCGGTGGCAGAGCAGGTGTCTGACTCTGATATCGAAATTGAAAAAGAGTGCGGCTGTTCCTGGCCCACGTGTCTGACCACCATCGTCGGAGGTGCACCGATCATACTATCCATATACAAACGAGGTCGCAGTTTGGGAGACGAGGATGGAGAAGCGAAACATCTGTGCTGAAGCGGTATCCATGACAGTCGACCTGAACATGGATGTGTTGACGACGGTGATAATGACAAAGAAATGAAGGGACAAGAGGAGGAAAATGAGGTGGTAGCTGGGAAGGATGGCGAAGAGCAAGGCGCAGGAGATCGGAGTGTTGTGGAGGTGGTGGGCAATCAGTGGAGGGGAGAATCAGGGTGAGGAGGGGCCAATCGGTGACAAGCCTCCCACTCAGCTCAATAGCTCAGTTCTCTTTCTTGCAAGTTACTCGCAGGAATAGACCGCAGTTGTTCTTCAGTGTGTGGCAGCAGAGTGCATTCTGCAACGACAACAGTAGGGTTTAGACGATTGTCCGGGACAGCCACTTCGGCAGCATGCACGTTGTCTGCTACAGCACTCTCTGTTCCTTTTGGAACTGCAGCTTGCCGCCGGTTCGTCAACAGCAATCAGGGACGGTGGGGCTGCAGTGCATCGATGTACGGAATGTTAAAACTACAAGTGACAAACAAATGACCAAGTGGACAACTTAGATGGAGAACTAGTTGCTCTTATCAACACGCCTAGCACCCACAAGGGATGTTTTCAAAAAAAAAAAAAAAAAAAAAAAAGAAAGAAAGAAGAAGAAGAAGAAGAAGAAGAAGAAGAAGAAGAAGAAGAAGAAGATGGAGAACTAGTTTAGTTACCTCTTTTTTTCACAAATGGGATCAGCATACTCCTTCAATATAGAGTCACAGGATCAGAAAGGAGCAGTGGTCAATCCCTTCTAGAAGGAAGCAATCAATGCCATGGGCTCAAGATACGATGCGATGATAAATGGCTCTAGCTGGTAAAATTTGTCCGATAGCCTGGGGGGGCTGAGAGGAGCAATCAAGATTTTGGCAGGAGTAAATTTGCAGAATCAGGGGCTCTTGTTGTATTTCTGACTTGCCGGTGGAATAGGAACCAGACCGATGCTTCCTAGAACAGATATGGAGAGCTTCCCAGAACAGATATAGAGCCAGGGCTATAAGGACTTGTTTTATGAGGGGGGGGGAAGGGGGGGGATGGACAGAGGAGATTTGCAGAATCAGTAAGGAGTCTAAGGACTCGAGCAATGGTCAATCCTTCCTGGAAGCAATCAATCAATGTCATTGGCTCAAGACACATTTTGATGAGAAACAGCTCTAGCCAGTGGAGTTTATCTGACAGCCAGGGAGGGTTTGAGAGGACCAATAAAGATTCTGGCTTGGGTAGAGCAGCTTGTGAGGTCTATCTTGTAGCACAGGGGATGAAAGGATCGATTACACCACCAGTACGTTTTCCGCAGAAACGCGTCGTGCATGCTGGTGAGTCGGGCGGGATGCACTGGGGTGCCGGTCGTTTCGCCCCAAATCCATCCAGGCAAAACCGGTTGCATGCGAGGCTGGATTTCGCCTGTCATCCTTGCTCAGGGGCTATGTTACTCAGAAGCCCACTGCTTTCAATGTCAACACTTTGTGTTTTCCTTCTCTGTTGCTTTTTTTCTTGCCAATCTGCTACCCTCTGCATAACGGTTACACCCACGGCATCACTTTGTGAAGTTCTTCGTTGTTATTATCTTTCTCTAGCTAGCGAGCCTACGGCCTTTGCTTTTTTTTCTCTGCCATAGAGTATATTTGAAAAGGTTTCTTTGACTGTGAGAAAATGACTATCAAAATCTCTGTGAAAAAAAAAAAAAAAAAAAAGAGAATCCACTGAACACCACTGACCTGCTCACCATCACAATGCCTGACCAACCAGCCAGGCAATGCCTCACCAGGCTGGAAGACCTCTCTCCTGGAACTTCATCTCATCTCCTCATTTGATAGCTTCTTGTCATTGTTGCAGTTCAAAACACTGTCAGATACAGATGAGAACCTTGCCACAAAACACTATCAGATACGGATGAGAACCTTGCCACAAAACACTGTCAGATAAGGATGAGAACCTCGCCACAAACGGATGAGAACCTTGCCACAAAGATTCATAAGCCCTGAAGCAACACACACACACACACACACACACACACACACACACACACACACACACACACACACACACACACACAAACACACACACACAAAATAGTTAATAAAAAGACCATCATAGACCAAAATCCAAAGAATCCTATTTATTGAAAGAAACTGCCCAAGGAATTTTGGGAAAAAAGTCACTTCTAAATATATTGGCTCAAGAGCTCCACTGCAGTGGTTGGCCGTTCACCCGTCCAGTCTTCACTAAAGTGCCCACAAAACCATGCAAGATGTTGTACATCACACGGCCTTCCAAATTGAGCACCAGCCAAAGCTCGTTCAAGACGGTGTAGACAACAACCACCCTGATAGCTTATTATCAACTCCCTGCATTTGCTATTTCCCTGCATGTGCTATTTCCCTGGATTTGCTATTGCATACATACAGCAAACCCATGCGGAGAAGACGGGATGGGTGAGCGGTACCAAGGTTCTCATAGGCTCTTAAACCACGACTATGCCTGAGAGTTGTGTTTTCCAAGACACAATTTTGCCTGCCCGTGGACCATGGTAGCCATGGACCCGAAGGCTGAATGTCGTATGGCCGAAGACAATCAGATGGGCATGGTGCAGAACCCAAGAACCGACCGAAGGAGAATGAGCAAAATACAATTCAGCCGAAGACTGATACGCACAGATCTGACTAACTAGACTCAGACAGACTGCAACTCACTCATTGTCGATGCAGGGGATGGGCCATGGCACCGTACACATGGAAGAAGAGTGTTGTGGCCAAGATCACACATGGACAAGGAGGGGGAGGGAGAAGAGACGAAGGGGGAGAGATATGGAGATGTTTTCAACTTAATAGCGTTGCCCACATATAGTCTCCCAAAATAGTCTCCCAATGTCTGTCCAGATACCGGTCTGAGTCTGGGCAAGCGCCCAATGTCACCAAGTCTCAACTCTCTCTCTCTCTCTCTCTCTCTCTCTCTCTCTCTCTCTCTCTCTCTCTCTCTCTCTCTCTCTTGTGCAAATAATGCCAAATATTCATCTGTCAGTTTGTCCAAACTGAAGGGTGGCCTTCGCCTCTCCTTCAAACAACCAACCATATCAAAAAGAGTAAAAAAAGACTCAAAATTTCAGTCAAAAAATAAATAAAAATTTAAAAAATATTGAAAATTTAGAACACGGTCGTGCAGTCTGTAAATGAACACTTCTCAGTGTTCTCACAGTTGATTTTGAAATTTGGAAGTCTGAACTCTGAAGTAGCTTATAATTTTAAAATGCAATGTTTTTTTGTCAAGTTGCTTGTGAATTAGCTCTTCAACTGTTTCCTCCTCCAGTTCCTTGTGCACCGTTTTTTTTTTTTTGTGTGTGTGGTCCGATGGGCCAAAAGTTAATAAACGTTAATAAAAGTTAATAAAAGTTAATAAAACGAATCAGAAGATTCAAGTTTCAGACAGAACAGATAGTAGTATCATACTAGTACACTTGATCTTACGTAGCCAAAAGGAAAGGCTGAGAAAGGTATTCCTTGTGAAGTAGGTTATGGGAACTTATGGAGTTATGAAGTTATGAAGTTATAAAAAACTGTGTTTTTTTAACTTGTTTCATCGCAAGTTACTTGACAATGTGAAGTAGCTGATGAACTGTTCGTAAACTGTGACATATACAGAGGGGTGAACCTTGAGAAGTTGAGAAAATAAAAAGAACAAAGCTCCTCTCGACATTATACTCGATGACGATGCTTTTTGGATACTCAGGACAGCAAAGTCTTTTGCTCACAATCGTTCTGAGCTGTAAGTCTGGGTGGGGCATCTGGTCCCGCAGCGTTATCGCGATGATTCAAACGTAACACCATCTCGAAGGGACGAAACTCAACTCAGGGCATACTCACAACTGCGGCGAGATACATCCAGGTATGACCGCGAATGCGGTCAGATAGATTTGAAATACCGCTAGTGTGAGTACGCCCTCAGAGGCGATCAATTCTGCAACTCACGACTTTCACAGGTAATGTCCTGCCGATGGGAAGATCTACGATCTTCAGGTCGGTCTCTAGACACAGTCAGATTAGTCCGATTATCTCCGACTCCGATAACTCTGACTCCGATAACTCCGACTCCTATAGTCAATTCTGTTATTAATCAGCCAGATCAGCATGTACGCGCTTCTCTTTTAGCTTTGCTAATTAGCAATTACTAATCAGTAATTACTAATCTACCCTTCTCTGTATCGTTCCAATTTTAACGGATGTCCCAAAGGACAGATGGGCATGTACGCTTCACAAAAAAAAAAAAAAAAAAAGAAGACGCCGACGAAGAAGAAGAAGAAGAATACTACAGTCTTTGCTATAGCAGGCAAAGACTGCTATGTAGACGAATTTGCCTTCAGTTAGTTGGGGTCTCATTAGTGTCACTGATAACAGTGGAGATAACGTTTGCAAAAAGTCGCCCGTGTTCACTTCTGTTTCATGACCCATAGGTACTCCTCAGGCAAATCCCTCGGTTGCTGGCGGGAGTAGTTCCACATATTTTCTAAGGGAATCTCCACCCTACCCTGCAGTCACATTTGTCTATAGTCTCTATAGTAAAGTCTATACTTAACTTGCAACAGGTACTCGCTTCGTGTGCATGTGCAAGTGTGTGCGTGTGCAAGTGCGTGTGTGTGTGTGTGTGTGTGTGNCACACACACACACACACACACACACACACACACACACACACACACACACACACACACACACGCGCGCGCGCGCGCACTCATAGAAGAAGAAGAATCGGAGGGAGGGAGGAAGAAGAGACGCAATGGAGATGGAGGGAGAGGAAGAAGAAGAAGAATCCTCTCGTAGTCTCCTTGGAGCTGTGATGCAGGTCGAAGACGCCCGAAGACGAACAGGAGCTATGGCGCCAGACAAGTCTGCAGGTGAGTCCCTCATAGCTGGCCAAATACAGCTATAATGACCGCTGTTCTATTCGGGTGGGTGAAGAAGATGGTGGATTTCTTCTGGAGGTCTGCCATGGAGGATCTGCATTTCCAGACAAGTGTGCGTGTGTGTGGGCATTTCCACTCCACAGCACAGATGCAAGGAGACCTAAAGTTTGGGCAAAGAGTCGCCTTTCCTTTTTCTTTTTTTCTTTTTTCGAAAGGACGACAGCCTTGAGGTATCATCATCGACGCTGCCATCATTTTTGGTCTTTCCCTTTCCTTCTTTTTATTTTTTCAAATCGAACAAAGGATTCTGAACAACGTGTGTTTAGGGCATCATACCCTGCCGTGCACGGACGGCCTCGAACTGGCACCCTCCGCCACAGGAACGAAGTATCGTAACCACTACAACCCTTGGAGGTGTTATAAAACTGGATCCATACCGGTCGTGATATCCAGCCCACCTCCAGGGCTGCAGCGTCCTTGAACTCAACACCACACACCCAACGCACACCACACCACGGACTTGACAATCACGCACACACCCAACGCACACCACACCACGGACTTGACAATCACGCACACTCCGTTGAACAACACGTAGCCCCAACACCGCTACCAAACCTACTCACTCTTGCGGGCCAACTTGCCTGCTGGTTCACAGGCGCCTCACAGTGATTCTGAACAACGTGTGTTTAGGGCATCATACCCTGCCGTGCACGGACGGCCTCGAACCGGCACCCTCCGCCACAGGAACGAGTATAGTAACCACTACAACCCTTGGGAGATAGTCCCTAGGTAGCATTATTATGTTTTTTTTTTTTTTTTTTTTCCTTTTTAAATTTGGACCACTTCTCGATTTATGTGTGTCATCCTTGATTGCGCAGGGGCCATTTGCTAATTTACCCTTCTCTGTATCGTTCCAATCCCTTTTAACGGATGTCCCGAAGGACCTACGTGGCATTATTGCATTCATCAGATCACTCATTAGTACTCCAAGTTCGAACTGATGATCTGTTTGTTTACTGACAGTTACATGTGTGTACCATTATTCAGTTACTTGGGCTGGGTGTTTGGGCCCTTTCCATTAATAGCATATACAAATATATAGATATAGATATAGATAAAGATATAGATATGGATACTACATATAATCATTGAGAACCGCCCCGTGAAGCACAGAACGTGATGATACTCCGAACTCCAGGTGTAATTTTCTGGGTCCAGTTGAACTTGAACCTGCTCCTCCAACAGGTCCAGCCAGTTGAACCTGCTCCATCACCAGGTCCATCACCAGGTCCACCTGAACCTGGTCCATCACCAGGTCCAGTTTGCACCTGCTTCATCACCACCTGGGCCAGGGCCATCACCACCAGGTCCTGGTGTTTATGGCCCTGCCCTGGTGGGTCCAGTTGGACGAGTTTCTCCCACCGGGTGCATGCTTTGCAGAAACTCGTCCAACTGGTCCTGTTGCACGGACAGCGTGAAGGACCAGGTGGGTCCAACGGTCCATGCTTTGCAGAAATTCGTCCAACTGGTCCTGTTGCAGCGTGAAGGACCAGGTGAAGGACCAGGTGAAGGACCAGGTGAAGGACCAGGTGAAGGACATCACCACCAGGTCCATGCTTTGCAGAAACTCGTCCAACTGGTCATGTTGCACGGACAGCGTGAAGGACCAGGGTGGGTCCATCGGTCCCAAATGAGCCAGGTCCTATAGCAGACGAGTTTCTGAAAAGAATGGAGAGCGCAAAGTCCCATAGCTGGATTCTATTTTGGCAGGCAAATTTTTTCTGCGTTTCACGGTCAGGCCTGGGTGGATTCTTAAGGCAAAAAAAAAAAAAAAAAAAAAAAAAAAACCACGTCGCTGTAACAGACCATCAGTGGGAATACCGGCCGGGCCCGCATATAGCAGATTCACGAATCAGAGCGCCTAGTACATGAAAGGTCATTTTGCCACAGCTCAATTCTCTAATCTAATCTGATAAAATCTGATATAATCTAATCTAATCTAATCTAATCTAATCTAATCTAATCTAATCGAATCGAATCGAATCTGATCTAATCTGATCTGATCTAGTCTAATATAATGTAATCTTACCTGAGGCAGCTTAGCGTAACCCGGATGCCAATAAAATGGCCAGGCTTCAATACTATACAAATCAAGATACAACGGATATACTCTGCGTGAGGTGTTTCTCTGTTGTGAGCTTGTGTGTCTGTGTGTCTGTGTGTCTGTGTGACAGTGTGTCTGTGTGTCTGTGTCTGTGTGTCTGTGTGTTCTCATGTTCGCTATACACAAGTCCACATATGAGGATGCGTTGTGTTCGGGGGAAGATTGGTAGCAGAATGGTTGATCCATACCCCTGATAAGAAAGACAGCAAGTCTGAGAAACTAGTGTGTCACAGCCATAAAACCCACCCTACACACCCACGCGGGCATGGATGCCCAATATGTCTATGTGTGTATGTGTGTATGTGTGTATGGGTGTATGGGTGTATGGGTGTTGTAGAACGTCACCGGGACAACCCCTTTTCCACCCCGATGAGCAGATACAAAATTGAAACAGCCTTAACTTTATTAGCTTCTATCAAATTATATATGACATTTTAAATCATTGTAATGGATTGGTGAAAAATGGCCGTTTTTCAGAAAGGAGCAATTCCCAGCAGGAGTGTGTGTGTTTAGCGTCTAATGCGTACACACTCGTTTGCTTTTCAGCACACCTGAACCTTATGTTTCATCTGTTCTCTAAGTGATCCTCATCCGTACGCACCGTGGTACTACTGCACCAGGGGAGTGTATGTGTATGTCTGTGCGGGTTTGTGTGTGTCTATGTGTGACTGTCTCTCAGAGAGAGAGAGAGGGAGAGGGAGGGTGAGAGAAAGACAGAGAGAGAAAGAGAGAGAAAGAGAGAGAAAGAGAGAGAAAGAGAGAGAAAGAGCGAGCAAGCGAGAGAGAGAGAGAGAGAGAGAGAGAGAGAGAGAGAGAGAGAGAGAGAGAGAGAGAGAGAGAGAGAGAACCAATCGTCTTTCCCGCCAGATTGTATGAGGGATAACCATATCCGTATTTGAACGGAAGAAACTGAACCCGCTCTCTCTATTCTGGAAAGAAAAACAGAATTGGGCCAAACAGGAATTCCGCAAAAAGGGAGGAATCAGTGGAAAAATGAACCATGCAAAAATACCACCAGACAGAAGAGACTCTCTCTTTTTGTTGGAGTTCTTTTGTCTCATTGTTTCGACTGGGATTGCTCCGCCGTAGCACAGCAGGGTAGTGAAAAAAAAAAAAAAAAA